GTTAATAATCGTGAGACCCTGTTCATATATTCTTTCTCCCTACTCACTTCACTCTTCTCATTTTCTCCCTCTCAACTCACTTTCTCTTAATTCTCCTTTACTCTCTCTTTTCCCTGTTTCCTTTTTTCTCTGATCTTGGGTGGCGAAGCAAGTACATCCTCTTATAATTGTTTTGAGTGTGGGAACCAAGACACATAAAAGCTGAATGTCCAAACCTTTTAAAGAAGAAACAAGAGGAAAAGAAAGTGAAGAAAAGTTTCAAAGGAAAAAAAGCCTACATTGCTTGGGAAGACAATGACTCAAGCATAACAAGTGATGAATCTGAATTTGAAGAAAACAACTTATGTTTGATGGCTGGAGCTGATCAAAGCACAATAGTAAGTGATTTTGACCTTGAATCTAATCCAGATTATGATCAACTTCAAGAAACTTTCATTCAAATTCACAAAAAGGCTGTAAAATTAGATGCTTTAAATTCAATGCTTAAAAACAAGTTGTCATGGTATGAAAACGCTTTAATTAGAGCTGATCAAGAGCTTGAAAATTTGAAAAATGAGCATCACAATCTTCAAACTATTTTGAACTTCAATGAAGCTCATTGTGGAACCTTCCCTTATTCAAAAGTTGATTGTGAAAATTGCAAGGTTTTGGAAAAAGAAAATTTCACAAATGGAAATGCAAATTTGAATATCATTTTGGGAAAACAAAGAAATACTTTTGATAGAAGTGGACTTGGTTTTAATTAAAGCATGAACATGCCATTAAAATCAAAGGAAAGTGTTTTTAAGAAAAACCAATTTTTCAGAAAATACAAAGGCAATTTCATTAAACAAACTACTTGCTATTATTGTTGCAAGAAAGGTCATACAATAAGGAATTGCTACTCTAGGAAATATGGTGTTCCAAATGAAGAAATGATTTGGATTAAAAAAAGTCAAAGGCTGAGAACTAACCACCAAGGACCCTTCACATGGATACCTAAATCAATTTTCTGATTTTGTTGTAGGAATGCTTGAGAGCTAAAAACTTATTATGGTATCTTGATAGTGGCTGCTCAAGGCATATGACTGGAGATCCTTCAAAATTCTCAAGTCTGAAGTTAAAGAATGAAGAATTTTTTACTTATGGTGACAACAACAAAGGAGGATTCTTGGTCATGGAAACATTGGTAACTTTTCCTCCTCAACATTGATTGAGAATGTATTTCTTGTTGAAGGGCTGAAACATAACTTGCTTAGTATAAGTCAACTTAGTGACAAAGGTTTCACATGAAGCACCAAGGATGGTCCTCTATCATCCCCTCCTTCTTGAGAAGCATTTGTCCTCAAATTTTTAAGCTCTTCCATTCCATTCTGTAACACCCCAGTTTTCAATAAAGTTATCATTATTATT